CCTCATGATCCGCCTGCCTCAGCCTCCCAAAACGCTGGGATTACAGGCATGAGCCCCTGCACCTGGCCTTGTTATTAATGTTGTAGAATCAGCTATAATGTTCTCTCTTCTCTACAAAGCAGAGTACCTGGTTGGTAATTGGAGAATCCCAGTGAGAATCACGTTACTTTTTTCTAATAAAACAGGTCTTACTGTTTCTAAGCCAGAACTGATTAGCTGTCTGGAGCAAAGACAAGAGCCCTGGAGTGTGAAGAGACCCAAGACTGTAGCCAAACCCCCAGGTATGTTGGTTGAATGAAACACATGCCACAGGTGAAAGCTCCAAAGGTCAAGGAGGAGGCCAGACCTTAAAAGGTTATTTGAGAAGCTCTGCTCCAATGAAGATGTCTTTTGAGGAGCCTGGGTGTTTATTCCTCTCACATAGAGGCATCTTTTGTCTCATGCTCTTAAATTCTCTAAAACATTATCTTCCTTTGAGGTTACAGTGAGAGCCAAAGTCTTTTTCATGGCTTATGAAAGACTTTATTATCTGACTGCCCTTTGTCTTAGGGGGGACACAGGAATATATGTGTACTTTTTAGGAAGTCTATGTTAAACTATTTTTTTTCTTTTTTTTTTTTGAGACAGACTCTTGCTCAGGCGCCAGGCTGGAGTGCAATGGCGCAGTCTCGGCTCACTGCAATCTCCGCCTCCTGGGTTCAAGCAATTCTCCTGCCTCAGCCTCCTGAATAGCTGGGACTACAGGTGCGTGCCACCATGCCCAGCTAATTTTTGTATTTTTTAGTAGAGATGGGGTTTTCGTCATGTTGGCCATGATGGTCTTGATCTCTTGACCTCGTGATCCACCCGCCTTGGCCTCCCAAAGTGCTGGGATTACAGGCGTGAGCCGCTGTGCCCGGCCTAAACAATTTTTTAAGGTTTTTGTTTTGTTTGGTTTTGGTCTTGGTTCTTGTTTGGATTACATCTGAAATGTGTGGGAGTATTGGTGACAAAGGGATTTAGTTCCAAAATCCCAGGAATACTACAGACACATGTGATATGTTTTCTGCTTTATGATTTCTTATGGAAGTTTCTTTCTTTTCATAACTTTTTTTTTTTTGAGACGGAGTTTCGCTCTTGTTACCCAGGCTGGAGTGCAAGGGCGCGATCTCGGCTCACCGCAACCTCCGCCTCCTGGGTTCAGGCAATTCTCCTGCCTCAGCCGCCCAAGTAGTTGGGATTACAAGCGTGTGCCACTAGGCCCAGCTAATTTTTGTATTTTTAGTAGAGATGGGGTTTCACCATGTTGGCCAGGTTGGTCTGGAGCTCCTGACCTCAGGTGATCCACCTGCCTCAGTCCCCCAAAGGGCTGGGATTATAGGCATGAACCACTGCACCCAGCCTCTTATGGAAGTTTCAAATGTGATTCTACAAAAATTCCTAATCAGTAATTTTATTATACTGCTAAGCATCTCCCTAAATACAAGAAAATCTAATGTTGTTTTACTTTTACATTTTTAGTGTGAACTAAAATTGGTAATTTAAACTTTACTTGCCCAGATTCAACTCTATTTGTTGAGTTATATATATATATATACACATACACACACAAATACCCACACATACATGTGTGTGGACCGTGTGATTACTTTTCTTTTCTTTTTTTTTTTTAATCTTCCAGATTTCTGGAAGGTTTCTGTGGGGAAGTCCACTGTTTGTTGGATAGAAATAATTTTTTAGGTAATAGGGCCCTTTTCTCTAGTTGCCTTTTATTTTTTTATTTCATGTTGACTCTGGAAAGTCTAATTACTATGTGCCTTGGGGATGGTTGTCTTGTGTCGTATCTCACAGGAGTTCCTTGAATTTCTTGTATCTTTATGTCAACTTCTCTAATAAAATGGGAAAAATTTTCATAGATTATATCCTGAAGTATGTTTTCCAAATTGGTTACTTTTTTTCTTCTGTCTCAGGAATAGTAGTGAGTTGTAAGTTTGATCCCTTTACATAATTCCATATTTATCAGAAGCTTTGTTTGTAGTGAATTCTTTTTTCTTTACCGTCTTCTGACTGGGTTGATATAAAGGAGCAGTCTCTGGGCTGTGAAATACTTTCATCTACTTAAGTCTATTCTGTTTATAAGCCTTTCAATTGTGTTTTGAATTTTCCATTTTTAAAGTTGTGTTTGGTTCTTTTAAAGGAACTAGTGAGATCCTTTTGAGGTAATGAAACACTCTGGCTTTCTGGATTGCCAGGGTTTTTTTGCTTTCTTATGTGAGGGAGCTGGTGCTTCTTTTCCTTTTGAATTATCTGTCATTTGGATGGGGCTTTAAAATTGTTTTAATTTTTTTTTTCCTTGAAGGTTCGGCTGTGGTGTATGTTGTGTATAATCTGTTGGTTTCATTTCACGGTGTTTTCAGAGGGCAGAGGCTCTGTCTAGGTTCCTTGGTTGTAGACAAGTTCCTGCAGAGATTTCATAGAGTGTTTCATGTTGAAGCAATGCATTCTTGCCTGCTGGTGTAATTCAGGCTGCAGTCCAAGGAGATAGCACTTAAGAGTGCTCTGGGGAGGGAAGGTAGTGTGTGAGAGTTTATTTTCTCTCCAAAATTATTTTGGGGCCTTGGTGATATTCCCTTCAACTGCTGGCACTGCACCCGTTCCTTTGCTCCAAGGAGGGCTTTGGTGGTCTGTGCTTCCCCCCTCCCTTAGGGACAGTTCACACTTTGAGGTCACCAGAAAACCTGTATTTTTTTTTTTTTTTTTTTTTTTTTGGACAAACTTTTTTTTTTTTTTTTCTTTTTGTTTTTTTTTTTTTTTTTTTTTTTGAGACGGAGTTTCACTCATGTTACCCAGGCTGGAGTGCAATGGCACAATCTCGGCTCACCGCAACCTCTGCCTCCTGGGTTCAGGCAATTCTCCTGCTTCAGCCTCCTGAGTAGCCGGGATTACAGGCACGCGCCACCATGCCCAGCTAATTTTTTGTATTTTTAGTAGAGACGGGGTTTCACCATGTTGACCAGGATGGTCTCGATCTCTTGACCTCGTGATCCACCGCCTCGGCCTCCCAAAGTGCTGGGATTACAGGCTTGAGCCACCGCGCCCGGCCAGAAAACCTGTATTTATCAGGGGCCCTGTTCTCCTTTGCTTGAAAAAGTAAGGGTAGGTTATTTGTCTGTGAGTGGTTTGGTGATGCAGTGGCTCAAGGATGGAAAATCCCCAGGCAGGGCAATTGCACCATGGTTTGCAACCAGGATTGCACCTGCAGCCCAGGATTTTTAGTCCAGCGGATGGCACTGGGGCGCGTCCGGCTTGTGGTCCCCCAACTCAGTAGGTCTCTCTCCAGTGTCTTCTCTGGGAGCAGGCCGAATTGGCTAGGCTTGTCCTAAGCCATCTGCATCCAAATTGCTGAGCTCTTCTAGATGTTCTAGGCTGCTAGGCTTCCTGAGATAGAAGCCATGGCTGCTCACCTGGCCTCACCCTTCCCAGTTTATTCATGTGAATGAAGGGGAACTCAGTTCCCGTGCTGGCGTATGATCCCATGCCATGCTGTTCTTTGCGTGCTGACAGTGTGGGCTTCTACCCCACTTAAGCTCAGACCGCATGTCTCAGCTTGATACTATCTCGGCTTGATATTGTTAGGCAGTGTACTGAAGACCTGGGCAGTTGGTACTGGGCCCATGAATTTGTCCGCTGGCCCTTTGGGGTCAAGCACCAGCTGCAATGTTAAGTGGATGCTGTGCTGTGGGCACTCTCCTGCAGGACCCGCCAGGTAGGTCATCTTGGAAGGTGCCAGCAGGCAAGGTGGTGCATGGATCAGATTCACCTCAGTCCTCCCCCTCAGCCTAGCAGACAGCAGGAGATGGATCCCCTCAGTGAAAGATGCAGAGCCTTGGAGGATGGGCACCTATGGTCAGCTACAGCTGCATGGCACAGAGAAACCTTGAGATTTCCACATGAGTTTAAGGTGTGCCTCTACCTGTTCTTCAGATGGCTCCCCCGCCAGTTCACAGATGTATATGAGATCCTATAATCAGGATCTCAAACTAGATGTAGCTGGGAAATGCCTTTCAAGGAGAAGGAACCACAGTGAGAAGCTCACAGATCCATGGCTAGACGGTGTTGCCGTGGGGTTTCTTCACATACCACTTCCTTAGGTCTGGGCCGGACCTTGGAGCCAGTCCTGGTGCCCAGGGACCTTGAGCAAGCTTTCCGTCTTCCTCTTCAACCACAGTGTCTGCATTACCTCTGAATTAATTTTTCTCTCAAAAGATCTGTTTAAAGTGTGATGCTTTACTCAACATTTTGTTTTCTCTCCTTGGAGTGAGTGTTTCCCAGCTGCATCCAGTAAGTCTTCCTGTCCTTTTCTTAATTTTCTATATTAGATTTGTAAAGTACATGTATCTGAGTCTGAAAATAAAAGTGGGATACGTTGTTGATTTTCTTTCTTTCTTTTAAATCGACAGTTTAAAACCGCCATTAACTTTGTTAATGTTCTATTTCAGCTATGTCTTGTCATTACACTGAAGACTTTTTGCCAGAACAGGGCATGAAAGATTCATTCCAAAAAGTGATACTGAGAAGATATGGAAGCTGTGGCCTTGAGAATTTACACTTAGGGGAAGACTGGGAAAATGCGAGTGAGTGTAAAGATCACAAAGGAATTTACAATGGACTTAACCAGTGTTTGTCAACTCCACATAGCAAAATTTTCCTATATAATAAATGTGTGAAAGGCTTTAGTAAATCATCAACTCGAAACAGACAAAACATAAGACATATTACAGAGAAACTTTTCAAATGTATCGAATGTGGCAAAGTCTTTAAATCTCACTCAGGCCTTTCTTATCACAAGATAATTCATACTGAAGAGAAACTCTACATATGTGAGGAATGTGGTAAAACCTTTAAGTGGTTTTCATACCTTACTAAACATAAGAGAATTCACACTGGAGAGAAACCCTTCAAATGTGAAGAATGTGGCAAAGCTTTTAACTGGTGCTCAAGCCTTACTGAACATAAGAGAATCCATACTGGCGAGAAACCCTACAAATGTGAAGAATGCGGAAAAGCCTTTCACTGGTGTTCGCCCCTTGTTAGACATAAGAAAATTCATACTGGAGAAAAACCCTATACATGTGAAGAATGCGGCAGAGCTTTTAACCGGCATTCACATCTCACTAAACATAAGACAGTTCACACTGGAAAGAAACCCTACAAATGTAAAGAATGTGGGAAAGCTTTTAACCACTGCTCACTACTTACTATACACAACAGAACTCATACTGGAGAGAAACCCTACAAATGTGAAGAATGTGGCAAAGCTTTTAACTCATCATCAATTCTTACTGAACATAAGGTAATTCATAGTGGAGAAAAACCTTACAAATGTGAAAAATGTGACAAAGTCTTTAAGAGGTTCTCATACCTTACTAAACACAAGAGAATTCACACTGGAGAAAAACCCTTCAAATGTGAAGAATGTGGCAAAGCTTTTAACTGGTCCTCAATCCTTACTGAACATAAGAGAATTCATACTGGTGAGAAACCCTACAACTGCAAAGAATGTGGGAAGGCCTTTAATCGGTGCTCACACCTTACTAGACATAAGAAAATTCATACTGCAGTCAAACGCTATAAATGTGAAGAATGTGGCAAAACTTTCAAACGATGCTCACATCTTAATGAACATAAGATAATTCAAAAAGGAGAGAAATCCTGCAAGCACAAAAAATGTGGGGAAGCATTTAATCACTGCTCAAACCTTACTACATAAGAATTGTTACTGGCCGGGCGTGGTGGCTCACGCCTGTAATCCCAGCACTTTGGGAGGCCAAGGCGGGTGGATCACGAGGTCAAGAGATTGAGACCATCCTGGTCAACATGGTGAAACCCCATCTCTACTAAAAATACAAAACATTAGCTGGGCATGGTGGCGCGCGCCTGTAGTCCCAGCTACTTGGGAGGCTGAGGCAGGAGAATTGCCTGAACCCAGGAGGCGGAGGTTGCAGTGAGCCGAGATTGAGCCATTGCACTCCAGCCTGGGTAACAAGAGCGAAACTCCGACTCAAAAAAAAAAAAAAAAAGAATTGTTACTAATGAGAAATCCTACAAGTATAAAAAATGTGGCAAAGTCCTTAAATCTTGCTCAGGCCATTCAGATCAGAAGGTAATTTATACTGGAGAGAAACACTACAAATGTGAAGAATGTGGGAAAGTCTTTGACCATCGCTCACACCTTATTGCATGTGAGAAAATTCATGCTGAGAATAGTTCTGATTCTAAAGAATGTGGCAAAGCATTTAATAACTGCTATGAGCTTAGTCATAGAGGTTTTGTGCTAGATAAGAGCAATGTAAGTGTAGTGATACACATTACATTTGTCTGTGGAAAGATATCACCAAATACCAGGCTTAGAGTGCACAAGGTGTAGTGATGGTGATATATTACATTTGTATGTGGAAGACTTCAAACATATAAGCCTTAGAGTACACAAGCGTTTTTATACTGAAGAAAAACATTACAAATATAAAGGGTGGTGCAATATGTTTACTTATGTTACAGATTTTATTGTACATAGAATTTATGCTGAAGGGGAACCCTCTGACAGTTGCTCAAATCCTATTCAATTTTAGACAATTTATATTGGAAAGAAACCCTACAACTGTAATGAATATGTTGTTGAAAAAATACACCTTAGAAAATAGTGGCTTATATGAAAATGTTAAACAGATGCAGCAAATATAAAAAATTAATCAAAAATCAAGTCTAACTGAACATCAGAAGATTCATAGTAGAAACCACTGAAACACTAACACTCAATGTTATTTTATTTTATTTTATTTTATTTTTTTGAGACGGAGTTTTGCTCTTGTTACCCAGGCTGGAGTGCAATGGTGCGATCTCGGCTCACCGCAACCTCCGCCTCCTGGGTTCAGGCAATTCTCCTGCCTCAGCCTCCTGAGTAGCTGGGATTACAGGCACGCGCCACCAGGCCCAGCTGATTTTTTGTATTTTTAGTAGAGACGGGGTTTCACCATGTTGACCAGGATGGTCTCGATCTCTTGCCTTCGTGAGCCACTGCGCCCGGCCTCAATGTTATTTTAAATCAGGGTATTGATTATAAAGAATAATTCAAAGTTAACATAATTTAGGCTAAAAAGAAACAGGAGATTAATATTTTGAGACTTGCAATTATATTCAAAGTGTACCGTTTTTGCATTGAAAGAATTTTAGATTTTTACAAAAGCAAATTTTGATGTAATTCAACTCTCAAGTTACTCATTGCTGTGTCTTTATTTCTTGTGTCTATGTGAAAGCATGTGGTCAATTTCTGCTGAGAGCTTTGAGAGGTTCTATATTAGGAGAACATCATTTATATGCTTTTCAGTAGAAGATTGAGGACACTGAAATGTAAGGTGTGTGAAGAAAATCCACACAGAGAGGCTTTTGTGGTTGACTTATAAAACTGTTGTAAGTGATGCATGAGATAGATGGTTCAGAGTAATATTCTTGTGCATTATTCAAATTTTAATAAATTGTTTTACCGATTGCACATTAAGATAATCAAATATAGCAGATTTTGTAATGGTTTTCTTAGACTGTGTGAACTTAATTTCTTTTAATAAAACAAAGTTGTTTTTAATATGTTAAGACAGTTGTGCATTGAATAGGTTAACTAGTGTTAACCTATTTAACCTTACTCAAGTTTCTAGGTAACAGACGGTAACAACATACTATTCAGTAATATAGTGGAATGGCATCTCTAGTAATTCTTTTTTTTTTTTTTTTG